TTTTCTTTTTTTTTTTTTTTTTTAATCGATGAACTATGACACTAAAATATCAAAACATTTTTTTGAATTATTCCATCAAGCTTTAGAGTTAAATCCTTATTCCAAAAGTCTAGTGGTAACTTGTATGCTAGTCATACATACAGTATAGGCAAAAAAAAAGCATGTCATATTTTAGAGCAGGGAAATTAAATCGATTATCTATGAGCATCAATTAGTCATATAAAATAATCAACTAACCAAGTAACTAAAATATTGACACTGTAACTTTTTAAATAATGTTTGATTCAAGGTTGTTTGGATTAATTGAATAGTGTCACAATTCATGAAAATAATCAACTAATAAAATATCCAATTATTAGTATTTTTGATTAAGTAATTTTTGATGAAGTAATTTAAAGGCTCATTAGGCCACCTAGAGAAAAAACTTAAATAGTACTGATTTATTTTACTAACCCATGATCCTTTTGGGCTGGCAGGCTTTGCAATATTTTCCAAAGATGTTGACAAAGGTAATGATTTTTGGATGGTACTGTCAAAATGAGATTTAATTTGAGAAGCTTGAGAACCAGTTGGTGATATTAAGGCCTCTAATTTAAGAGTATTATTTGTAAAATTTTGGGGTGTAACACCTCTTTGTTCTAATTTAGACAGGGCAGGGGCAGATGTCTGATGGACAATGGATTTTCCATACTGTTGAGAAGGGGATTGTACAATTAAACTTGCTGATCTGGTTTCTTTTTCAGAATTCCTGACTGGGGGAGGTGATCTAGGAGAGCGAGGCACCTAGGTGAAATAAAAATGAAGTATTATTGAAACTTAAACTTCTACAAGTCCACAATACATTTAAAACATTTCTGTGCACTAATTAAAAATACCAACATGAACAACAATCTCAAGTCTTACACACTTTGTAAGCAAAAAAGTTATCAAGACTATGAATTGTAACCAAAGATTATAAAAATGTTTATACTGATAAAAATAATGACATCAACAATAATATCTAGACATTTATTCAAGACAAACAATAACAAGCTCAGTTAAGCTTGTGCAACACAGTCAGTATAACAAAACCTATTACACAAGCTTTTGAGATATTTCTTTTTGTTTCTTTTATAAATTTTGCAGAATATTTTCTCTCTCCCTCTCTCTGTCATACCAACACCTTTAAGAATATTACAATCAACCCCTCCCAACTATTTTTCAGAAATTCTTTAAAATTCAAAATAAAACAGTTCTGTCTAAAAGCTTGCAAGTTTTTTCTTTAAAATTAACTAAAATTAGTTAGCTACAACATTCAAGGTAATGCTTAAAACTGAAAATCACTACAAATATGTTAAAAAATAATTATACTTATGTTTCCTCATCAAACAGCTTATGGTTAAAACACCTTTCTAAAACATCAACGAAAATTAATACAGTTTTTAAGAGAGGAAAAATACCTACTATAGTTAACATTCATCATTGTTAATCAAAACATTTCCAAGAGTTCTTTAACTAAATTTTATATGTTTTCAAATCATCTCATACAAATGCCTGAATAATGGATATTTACTTAGATGCCTGTCCTCTATCTTTGGTTATGGTATGGAGAGCAGTAACAGCTCAAACAGAAGAATACAGTAAAAAATCAAAAAGTCTAATCAGCTAGGCAAAGTCAAGCATATTTCAAGTAAGTGAAACTGAAACTATTTTTTTCTAAATGTTTTTTCACAGATGTTCAACTGAAAATGCCCAGTGTGTATAGAAATGCATAAAACTGCAATTAAAAAAATAAGGAATAAAATTCATTTTAAAACAATTCTTGAAATTATAATTCTAAATTATGTTTGGGATCATTTTAAACATTACATTTAAAATTTTGTAAGATAGAGTTGACTAAATGGAACAAAACATGACTAGTAGGAAAAGGATACCATATCATTTTAACTGATTACATTTCACCAATAACTTGCTCATAGAATACAAATAACTAAAATGCATAAATTCCAAGGCCTAAATGAATGTGACTCCCTAAACTCAGAACTACACATAAAGTTAGGAACCAACAAAGAAATTACTAGATTTTATTAATTACAGACATCAAACAAGAAATGAAACACTGAGCAAATGTGTTGCAGAAACAAGTTGTTCTAGTTTGATTATGGATACTTTTTGACTCTACTTAAATATTTGTCTTCATGGCAAAGCCACCATCCCTAATTTAAACTACTGATCAGAGGGAAGGCAGCCAGTCAGAAGCACCTTGCTATCATCAAATTTTTAAAGAGATTGACAGTCACTCTCACAACACATCCACAGCTTAAAGTGTAAGAAATATTTTATGGTATCAAACAAACTTGAACCCAGTTAGCTAGCTCCAAAATACATAGCTCTAGCACAGGACCAATTGGTGCCCATTCCTACTTAAGTTACATTAAATCTAAATCTTATTCATACAGTACAAGCTTCTCTTCGACACTTTCATTTGTCAATGAGCAAATTAAAGGTTTTCACTCACACAATTTTCATAAAAAGTTCTTATAACTATGTCTACAAGAAAACCTGTAAGCAATAAGTATCTTGCTCACTGCAATTTAAAAAATGGTACATGAAGCTTAGTTTGATATGGAACAAGCTGGGACAAATTAAGCTGACTTATCTGGGTAATGCTCATAGACAAATTCTATTATATTTCAAATGTGTTGACTTTGTGGTGTATTTCAAAAATGTAAAACATAAAATTTACAGTATTTTTAGTGAAACTTCCAAATTTTTATTCTTTTACAAACAGGCTCTTTAACATTCTTAAGATCACTTGGGATTATTTGGTCTTGATAGATAAGTTATGTTTCTTTAACATGTTTCCCACACTTCCAGGACTTTTCTAGAACCACCAAGCAGTTTCCCAGGACCTTATAAGATTACAAGCAACTAAATGAAAACACTTCATGCATAACTTTCAATTTTTTTTCTTTGTCAGCATGTTGTTAATAAACAGAAAAAGACCATGGTATGTCCTTATCTGAACTTTTATATTATTTTGACAATTCAGCGTGTCTTTCAAAGATTTTTTGTTTCATACTTTTATGACACAATAAGTCATGTGTTAAAGTACTAAGAAGAATGTATGTTAACCAGCATAATTTCGAACATTATTTTTCACTTATTGATTTTTCATGTAAAATATTAATTATTATGATAAAACATTACAATTTCACTAGTTCCCAAAGGATTAAAGTAAATAACTGCATGTCTGTGACAGACTTCTATGACTTGGTATTTGTACCTATCATAAATTAGTATGGTAATTAAACTCATAGTGAAAGGCTTTATAAGTGAAAACTGATGGAAATGACTTGTACTCTTTGACAGCTCAGTGCTAGAACACTGATCTTGTTAGTCAAGTGTTCTGGGTTTAAGTCAGTTTTTGCTTATCTGCTTTTAAATTAAAATATTTAACGTTAATTATTATAGAAAAGAAAGTAAGTTGATTCTCCTCTTACTGTATTTATAAAATCAATAAAATACACAATAGTATTTTAAAAAACTTTGAGAGAGTTTAGTAGGTTACTCTAAACTAATGGTTGGTATCACCTTTAAGGGTTAAAATAAATAGTGCATTTCGGTATTAATTTTTTATCGAAAAATAAACATTTGCAGTTTTACTATTGCTAAATTTAAAAGAAAATATATATATAAGTGATGGTCAGAATGACCAATAAAGAAGGTTATCTACTACTCACACCTATAGAACATTGACTAATTATTGGCAAATGTCATTGAGCAGTAATCGGCCATTTAACAAGATCTTTATATTAATGAGCCAAAACCTTCTGAAACCTAGCCTAGCATCCTTAGTAGTCAAATTGCAGAAAACTATCTAGGGACTATCCAACAGACTCTAGAACCAGTTCACCAGTGCCCAATGTTTAATTTTTATTTGCTCTTACAAAAATATAAAATCTGCAAAATATTTTATATACATCTCAATAAAATACAGTCTAAAACAAGTGCAAATATTCAACTAAAAACATATTGACCATTAGGTGAAAAATTCAAATTATATGATTTATCAAAGACTGACTAATCCACTTGAATCATACATCATGACAATACTAAATATGACCAGGATTTGAAAAATAATGCCAAACTGTTGTTTCTATTTGTTTGTTTCAATTTAACCATTAAACGCTAATTTTTTTTTTTTTAGTAAAAAAGCTCTCTGTATTTACCAATTCAAACATAGTCACTAAAAGATTTGATAGTACAAGTAAAATATCAATAAACATTTGAAACACCACTTCTTATTCATCTATTTCTTGTTTCTAGTTGTTACAATTGTTATTTCATTATTTTTAAGTTTACCAGTCTTACAGCACTGAAATAAAATTTTGCAGTTTGCTGAACCCATGTTAGTAAGAATTATCAGTGAATATTAGAATCCAACAACAGAAAGCTATTATTTTATAACCCTGCCTTAACCAAATTTCACAACTACTTAAACTATGAATAAGGGAAATAATTTACAAAACACACCTTACTGACAATTGTATTTATGTGTCCTGAGTAAGCAATAGCAAAAACATTGTCAATTTCATGTTATACTAGAACATTCTTAATTCTCTACTTTTTTTAATGCTTGTTTACCTGCCTTCACCCAAAAAATGATTCACTTAATGTCACCATCTATACACTGTTCTAAGCATTATAAACTTAAGTTACATTTACAACTCACAGAATCTGAACTAGTCCCAGAGGTGAAACTAAGAAGTTGCTCTTCCAGAATTTTCACCTGTTTTGTAGCTTTACTCATGTCCTGTCGAAGTTTATCCGATGGATTCTTTGAATATTCACTTTTTAAGTCCTATAACAATAAAATCATGTTTACAGACTACAATTCATTATACTGCAAATGTAAGGAAAATAATAAATAATAAAAACTATGTACATGTTACTATTTCATTTCTATAATACCTCCATTTTAAAGTATACATACAAAATTTACCAAGTACAACATTTGCATTATTCAAATAAAATTAAATTAATTTAACCTTAGAAAAAATTTAAGTGCTACAAAAAAAAAGTTTAAATTAACATTCTGGTAATTTAATAGTATTTAATATTTTGTATGTTTGTAGTACAGGTTTATAATGAAAGGTAAAATTTTACCTCCAAGTACCGCACTTCCTTGTCTAACATTTTCTTTATTGTGTGGATTTTTTCTTTATTTAATTGATGTTGTTTTTCAGCCTGAAATTAAAAAAAAATTCATGGATCATAAATTAAATCCAAGCATGCCAAAATCAGATTGTTTTAGATTTACTGATGAATGAAGTCTTTGTCTTTTTCTTTTCCCTTTGTTTTTTTTTGTAAAAAAATTATACAATTGGTTATCTTTGCCCTGTCTACCACAGGAAATCAAACCCCAGATTTCAGTACTGTAAGCTCACAATCTTAACTTATCACTGATCCATCAGAGGATATTTAATAATAAAGTTTAATACAATTCTGGTATGCCTGAATCAGAAATTGTTTTAGACTTATTACCAAAGTTTACAGGTTATTCCTACTTTCTTATAAACCTACAAAGTCAGAGCTAACCAAACATACTGCAAGAAATATTATTGTCTCAAGATTTTTTTTTCTTTTTTGTAGTACCATTAATATTATCATCCTGATACTATGATGGCCAGTGATTTGGTGATAAGTTTGACTGAGCCTAATAAATCATAACAATATGAAAATGGCTTACATCAACTGGTTGTGGTCCAGTAATCCTCTCAGATGGTGATGACAGCTTACTGGATGACCCATGATATGCCATACTACTCCCAGAGAGATGGATAGGATGGCTACCACCAGACAACCTGTTGTTATGGCCATATGGTTTCCCAAGTAATGTAAGGGACACATACGTTCCAGCTAAAAGAAAAGCAAGAATTATCTGATTTCATATTAGTTTTGGCCTAAATTGGGTAACTTAACTCTCTCAAAATGGGCTCAGTCAATTTGACCAACCACATGGCCATATTGTGCTCATTTAAAGTCTTTATAGATTTAATACTTCTAACTTTCAATATAGTGTACATCTTCACAAAATTTGCCAGTCTTTCAGTTAATATTACAAGTCTTTCACATACAAAAAATCATATTTTTTA